CCCAAATGCAGGATTTTACACAGTTTTTAAAAATTTCCCCCCCCCGGGGGGGGGGGCCCCCCCCCCCCCCCCGGGGGGTTTGCCCCCCCGTGTCCCCTTTCTGCCCCCCCCCCCCCCCCCGGCATTTTGCTCAGGCTACGGCTCTGTGCTTCATATTCACATCTACTACTCTACATCTACCCATTTTAAGTATTATAAGGTAAGAAAACGTACCACAGCCAGTGAATGTTACATCGTCGACGGATACGACCTTACTAAAAGCAAAACCAGGCTTTATTTGGGCTTGAATCAGAACCTGAACAATGAATAGTGAATAGAAATATGTATACAAAACAACTCGTATACAACAGTATATATAGTGACTAGAGTGACTAGATTTTAAAGTTGTATTAACTTCATCAGATACTTGGAAATCAAAATGTTTTGTGTTCTTTGAAAGTATAAAGGATACCGAAAAGGGGAAAAAAAGATGAACATGAAAAGCTAGTCTGAAACGGATACGGTCGCCTTCACAAACCTGAAAGTCCCCTTGGTTGGAGAACGAAGTGATATCAATCGGTCCACTGTATGTCCAACCATGCCCTCTTACTTGATGAGCCCATATTTGTTTTGTCTGTTGCGTTGACACAGTTTTCACGTGTGCGGTTAATGATATTTGGTCACTGTTCATGTTATAATAAAATCCTATACTACATGGAAGATTTGTCTGAGGAATTCGTGGTGATGTTATAATTGCTTTCTGGTTTCCAGCATTACCACTTCTCCACTTGACTGTAAGGAACTGTCCGTTAAAACCTTGAGTACAAAAACAAAAAAATATTGTCCACAAAATTTTGTCGTGCAATGAGCTGGATTAAAAAACTATAAAAACTATATAAATACCCTTACAAATCAATCCTTGAATTCAATGGAGTTTTACACTAGCCAGGGCAGATTTCAAAGGGTATACGAACATTTCCACCGTACTATTACACACACACACACACACATGCGTGCACGCGTGCACGCACGCATGAACGCACAAAATTATTCAATAAATACCTTTTGTGCCAATCGTGTGATCTTCAGTTGGATATCCCTTATTTCTTCCAATCTGTTGCCACTTAAATCTATCTTCATCTGCAGAAAACGAGTACCCACATAAGGATCCATCAAAATTACATGTAGTTCCATTACCTGAAAATAAAAGAACGATCTCACGTCGATTGAAGCTATATCGTTTGTGTTAGAATGCTATTCGGAGGGGTGAGAAATATCATCCGTTTGGAATAAAAGAGGCCTATAACCTCTATACGAACTGAGCATTTCAGATCTTAATCATTTTATGTGTATGGTTGGGTGTGGGCGGACCTTGAAGAATCCCACTATATTGCCTTAAATATGAAATATGTTATTGTTAACACACGTTTATAAAACAGATATAGAAAACATTACAGTTTTAAAAATGTGTAATAAACGTTAAGGTGATACATATTCATCTTTTGGCAATTAAAGACAAAGGAGCAATGCTTGTTCCACATATACTGCATCTCCACAATCATAGGTTCAGATGGATATCCGACATAGAGCACAATTACCAAATAGACGCACTGACAAGAAACAGATACCCGAGCGTACGGCAAGGGCGAAGCTGAAGGGGTGACCGGTACGACTGCTAACTCCCATGATTTCCGTCAGGAACATTTAACTGTAGATGACTATAACATAATAAGCAATGGGGATAAAAAAATATGAAACACACAGAAGAGAACGAAACCGACCAATCTCTTTGATAATTTAAGAGATCAGTCCAAATCTTCCAGTCAAAAACCGTCCACAATAATGCTCAAACTTACCAAGAGCGTTTTTTGCACAGAAAAGCACCACCGCAACACTTATTAGCAGCGTGTTAATCATCTTGATCCCCATTATTCTCCCTCGCGCAGTCTCTGTCAGACCGGAACAGAGGGGAGTGGTGGTCTGCCGAAGTGTCCCAGTTTAGACACAACAAGGGGTGGCACGGGGAGCCCGCTTCTCAGCTATCTCAGCAGTACATATTTGATTTTGTTGACCTTCACGATAGAGAGGCGGGATTGTGTAAGATTTCCCAACTGGATTCAAATATAGTTTTTCATGAGATGTCATATGGTGTTTTGTTTTTAAATCATAAGCAATATAATCTCAGAGAGGGCGAATCTGACAGGAGATTATAGAAAACGTGTTATTTCAACACCTATGTTTAATCCTTAAAAGGAACTTTGCTTGCTTCTTTAAATCTGGGGGCTAACTGGTTTGTCAATTATTAATATAAAGTAAGCATCAGTGCACTGCAAAAGATCAAAACTACACATCGTCTCAGTAAATAATAGGAACTGCGACCTTGAGGGATACATGTAACTAAGGCCCTTTAAATCCATCCAGTATTGAACAGCAGCGTTTGATATGATATGTTTTTTCAACAAAAATTATTACCACTTATTATGTCAGGGTCTCGCAAAACATCATCAAATTGAGGCTGTGGTTGTTAGAATAATCTCTACCCAGATGTACAGCTACCGGTAGTGTAGTTGACCTGTGTTGAAAGAAACATTATGATCTAGAACCCATATTTTGTAATACACTAAGCCATCATCATAATGACGGCTACGAAGGAGCGGTTGATGCATTCAAGTTACTATACTTAGATTCAAATGCACCAAATAATCTCCTAACCGCATTCATGCTCTAATCTCCATGTCGTTATCGCCAAAGCAGGGCTCGTTGGTGCTAGGTGCTACCAGTTAGACACTGTCCTTGCACAATATGATAACGCGTGTGTATAAGGTGATCGTACAATAGGACACTGTGTCATTTAACGATAACAGTAGATGCTACACTGTTTTCTGAAAGATTCAGGGGGTGGGTAGCCCACCCACCCCTTTTTCCCATTCAAATACCGGACTCGGCCTTTGGGTGTGTCCCTTACCGAAAGAGTAGACCTACTGGTCTGAGACCCACAAAAATACTGTTAAATACCTCAAATGTCCATATATTTCCCTGATGTCTGATAACCTGGATCCCCTAGTGTTCTACCAGTCCCCCAGACCCCCGCGGATAACAGGTGTATGCTTAACATAAAGAGATGACAACTCTTCACTTTGGCGGGAAAAGTGTCATAAAACGGATTTTCTGGGGGTAAAGACAATTTACCATACTTTCCAAGGGTTAATGAATCCGGCTCGGTATTCAAAGTGAATCGATTAATTATTTTAAGTGTGGTTAGTGGTAATAACCATTTTAGAGAATTTTACGGAAGGTTGCCATCTATGAAGGTCCACGTGGTCCATTGGCAAGCACAGATTCCAGAATGCTTACGATAACCGCGGTTTTGGTGGTAAAATGGAATTAATTATACTTCTATGTGTTGTTTATAATGTATTTATCTTGGACTTTTGAATCTCATGTGAAGAGTTGTTATCCCTTTAATATACTGGGCGCAGTGGTAATAAAGACGCCACGGTACCTTAGTCACTCAAAAGATACATGTAATACAATTTATGATCTACAGGTCACATCTGCTGTATGTAGAACAGTCTAAATGTGTTTTGATATTTTTTTCTGTATATTTGCAAGCCGATCCCGTTTCTTAGCGATTTGTTAATTCTCCATTTTTGTAGATGTGTGTATTTGGTTAATCCCTTCTTGTTCTTTGGAGCAGATTAATAGCACAAAAAAATAGCCAACGCCAAACGATAGATATAGCAGTTGCGTGACTTGACGCGCTTGTCATGGCTTCGCCACGTGTCTGAACATCATCAACCACGTGCTATACAGGTATGTTTCATACTCTCTATATATTTTCCAGGCATGAGCGCACCATCTATTATTTTGTTCTCTTACTAATTTTATTACATTCTATAATGACAGTTTCCAGATAAGGCGAGGGGTTGGATCCGGGAAGTAGAATATATGTAAATGATTAAGTACTTTGAGACATAAAGGACAATGACCAGGATCAGTTGGGATGATATTAATAATAAAGAGAAGTGTTGGGAAAGTTAAGAATGAAGGGCAGAGGCGTTTTGGAGAGCAAAAAGACAGAAAACGGAACCGAGTGTTCATGTCGTGAGAAGGCCTAGTGAGAAAAGGGAAATGACAAATGAAATGAAAGGTCAGAGAGGGGTTGGCGGATGAGGTGTGTGAGTTGTCGGTGGCCAGAAAAGAAAGACTGGAAATATATAGAATAGGTGGACGAAAGCGATCACCAACGTTCGGAGTTAAGGCGTCGCATGGTGATGATGGAGTACTTAGAAAATATGCTAAAACTCTGCAGCTTTTCAGCTTTCAGATTTTCATCGGATTTTTAAAAGAAATAATAGATAATGAAATGAAAGAACGGAAGAGTCTATATTTTTCATATTTTCATATAATCCCCCCTTCGCCTAAAGCTGAAATAGTAAGAATGGTCTCCTGCAATGTGTTAGGTGAGAGCCAATACTAAATGATACGATTTTCACTTCTTTTCCTCGCACAGTCGTATATTCCATTGCGTGAACGCATTCGTTGTCACAGCTCCATCGGCTCCAATAGGATAACGGTCTAAAGCACTTGTGGATCCATAATTTGAGTAAAGGGAAAGGGGGCAGAGTCAATAGCAAATAGAACACAGCTGACGAGGGCTCCTTCTAGGACACAGGGAATTAAAATTGCTCAGTTTGGCGTTGTGTCTTGAGGGGAAAAGGGGGATGCCTGGGAAGGATGGGTCGGGGGACCGGGGGCACGTATTCCGCTGTGACCTCTCCTCTTCATCTACATGTACCTTTACCTTGTTACAGATCTATATCCCGACTGTGTGTTGTTCTCCCGGTGGTATACCTATTAAAGATGAATTTTATATTTTAGTTTAGTGATTATAAATATTTTGGAAGTGGGTTTACTAGTTAAAAGTACATGTTACTTTTAATTAAACTGAGTTTTTTTTAATCTTTATGGTAGCCAGTGTTGACTTATATGTACATGTAAATTTGTAAACTTTACAGTCATCGGAGGCAATTTCTAAAATATTTCAACTAAGAAACTCTATAACATAGTATTACATAGTATTATTTATTTATTTATTTTTCAATTGCAATTCTACATGTAGGCCTATGTAGATAAAGACAGAGAAAATAAAGGACCCTAAGGTCTGCCGTCGGATTAGAACCCCCGGGGGTGAGTAAAAAAAATCACGTGCTGTCGTATATTAAGAACCACAATTAATTTGCCAGATATTCTAGAGTGAGACAGACAGCACACAAAATGTGTATTCCTGTAGCCATGGTAACCTGCATAGAGTCACATTCTAAGTCGTGGTGCACTGAAGGAAATAGCTGAACTCCTACAAAAATCTTTTTTAATGGAAACAGTACTTACGTGGAGTTTGCCTTAATTAACTGTGATTTTAATGAGAAAAAAGCAATGAAAAGTCTTCATTGTATTTTTGTTATATTAGTATAGTGAAAATTATGCATCTGTCGAGTACATTGACGGGGACTTAATTAGCTATACCGACAATGTAATATTCAGATTTAAAACTTCACAAAACCAGATAAAATAGTAATGCAAACCAGATCTCAGGAAAAATTCAAAGACTCATATCTAAATTTTGAATTGGCACCCAGCCTTATGCAGGCCCGTAGCCAGCAAATTCAAAAAGGGGGTTCTTTTTCTGAAAAAGTGGACCTTTTACAATGAAACTTACGGGTACCTAGATCAAATTTTACCCAAAATGGACATTTTCCTGACAAAAGGGGCGGTTCTTTCGAACCCCCCGAACCCCCCTGGCTACGGGCCTGTTATGTCTGTTATTTAAAACTGACTATGGTAAAAGATGATAAAGTTATCATTTAAAAAGACAGAAATACGTATCTTAATTTCATACTCCTGTAAAGTTGTGACAGACAGGCGACTTAGCGCTTATTATCATTCTATTTTTTATTTTTCTAGTCATACATACAAAGACTGATTTTACACTGTTGTTTTGTTTTTGACATTCGCGTCAATTCAGCACGTAATTGGTTTAACAGACTTGCATAAATCATTTGAAATGCAAATCGCAGGCATACCGTAAGTATTTCTTGGCGTGCTTTAAATTCTCTCAGTGAAATGTTCCTTCAATAATTAAAGTTAAGTAAGATATTGTGATGAACTATTTGTTTTGACGGAACCGGTGCATTCGAGTCACGTGGCTGATTGACGTTGGTCAATGCGGTATACTCTCTGTCAATGCATAGTAGATTGAGCAGCAATCACTTTTACTTGATTAATGGGGTCATTAATTATGATTGGAATGCTTTAACATTGATGAATAGGACCGCTTGCACTCGAACAAAGTCGTAAGAGTCGTGTCAGCATACACTATGTATGCAGTACTTTCAAATGTGTTAGACTGAGTTTGAATTGTATTTTCATGATTAATTATTATTCAGTGAGTTGCTTTTTTGTCTTGGGCATTTGGTCGTGCAGTTTGCACTTCTATCAGTGGGGTATTACCAATTCACTGCACTGTTGCCTCACTAGATCTAGAGTTCTAGATGCATCATTAACGGAACAACAAGATTGTTCAAATGTTTCTGGGAACTTCACATCTGTTGCCGTGTGATGTTTTCCCTAAATACTAATAAATTACTTTACATATATTCTAAAGAAACATTTTGGTTGGGAACCAAACCCATGGCTAAGGTTGGGCCAAAAGTGGGCGGATTAGGGGTTTCTTTGAAGTTTTGAAGAATGGTGGACCAATAGGGTAAACTAAGAAAGATTTGAAAGCTTCAAACTATGGTTTGTGTGGCATTAATCCATTTGTGACATTATGTCTCCGTTTGCTGTAAAAACACTTGTTTCGAACCAAAAACTTCAAACCACAAAGGCGGCGTGTTCCTTTCACCACCAAGCATTGGTCTGAAAACCGCATAGATAACATCCACCTATCAAAATGGGCATGGTTATTAGTTTTTTGCACGGAAACACCCCAGAATCACAGCATACCCAAGTTGTTCAGACCATTAATAGTCTAGCACACCTCGTACTCACCCAGGGTCGCCCGTTTCACACCGGCAGGAAATCCGGGATACTCAGTTTTAATTAACTAATTGCCAAGAATCGCATTCACTTACGTAATCTCGGGGGTTCGTTGACTGAAAATTTCTTACATGGGATGGAGACATTTACAGTGTACTTGCTAATAGATATTAATCATTACCCCTGATCCACTATTTCCTGTGCTCCAGTATACTTGCTATCATTAGATGCTTGGCAAGCACTTATAGGTGTTTTATTACAAATGATTAATACGTCATAAAAAGGAAAGACATTATCTCCCCCCCCCCAAAAAAAAAAAATAATAATAATTAATTAAATATGGTGCCCAAAATCTTTACCGTTAAGGATAAAGACACCTGTTTTTATTACTATTATTATTATTATTATTATTATTATTATTATTATTATTATTCTAGAAATTATAAATGCTTCATTTGCCACAGACTCATGCTTATTTATTTCCCAATTATTTTTTGCTCCAATTCACACAATGCGCACAAACCGCTTCGTATTGAAACTAAATAATTATCTTGCATTATAAGTATTTTCAATGATCATTTCTGAAGAGGATCGAAATCAAGTACAATAAAAAAAGAAATATGTATTAGTGTTGTTTCCAAAGGCATCTTCGTCAACAGAAATTGATAACTGGAAATTAAAGGCCAACAATACAAAACTGCCAAATATCGCCAGCTTATAAAAAGTAAGACTTCAGACACGGTTTAAACAGATATCTGCAGAGTGTTAACGGTATACAAACATTAAACTACCAGTTAAACCATGAGGCTTTACGTAAATATATATCAGGGTCAAGATCATGATAAAATGGCATTTTTTCCTCTTACAGTGCACATGTATGTACAACTGCCAACTCACTTACAGTATTTAACATTGTACGTGATATGCCATTAGCCAATGCACTCGCTTCATATTATGAACTTTAATAGTTACTTCTTACATTGTTAAAACTGTAGCAGAGACCAAAGATAACTCAAAATGAAACATGAATGGCTGCAGATTACATACTGCCGTCACCTGTTTTGTGTTCGGAGTGACCTTTCTCGACCAACATTGTAATAATTTACAGTGTTTTAAAGAAACATTTGACGGTTAGATAATGGGCATTGGCATAGTATACAGAGGGTTTTTGGTACACTTCTTTTAGTCCAATTGCTAGAAGAGTATTCAAGACGGACATGCAGTCTTCATAGTAGGCCTATTCCAGAAATTAGTGTCTCCTGATAAGTCGGCGTTTTTGCGTCATACATAGGTCCTTGCAAAGACAATTGTTAATCTATGCTGTAATTTGGTGCATAATCCATACGATTCATCTTGGCCTACGATATTAATCTTCATGTCCGTCACAGAGTACAATAGAGTAATAATTGTACATGTGGGCGGCAGTTTGAATTAACTATTTTTAACTATCTATTTTTTGACGCGGTGAATAGTGATAAATGATGAAAGATAACGCGCCATTTACAGAAAACAATAATTTGGAGAGTTTCTATGAAAAAATATCCATATGTAATAATCTTACATCGCGCAATTTTTCAGCCTCCAGGCAAGTGAGTAAATAATAGTACCAAGTGGGTTGTTCCCCCAAAACCATTGATCTTTATTTATTGTGCGATGGAACATTAAGGTTTTCTTAATACCACTTTTCAAATCCATTTATAAACCATGTAAATATAACGTTACTTTTCCTATGAACTTGGTTTTCTTGGTGGTTTGTGGTTATTCCCGTCAACAGTCAAGGTTGGGGTCAACCCTTCTTAGAAATCGCAGACCCATTCATTAGTATGCCTTCCGGAGACCCGCTGCCATTGGTTATTTCGTGTGACGCAACCGAAATAAGTGGTGCCAGCATCCAATCAGGCATTGGCATCTGTGTTCTCCTTTGACCTAGACGATTTTGATCGGCCATGCTTTCTCTCACGCCTTCTTTTAACACTTCCAAGTGCCGTCCAGCAGCGACAAACTGAATGAACGAATTTACGTTTTCATCCTAATTAATTATTTTGATGTGTTTTGCGCGTGTCGTATATCAGAGGATAATGGTCGGAAGCCAGTGGCTGTTCTGGAGGTATAAAATGCAGAATGATATGGTAGATAGGTGAGTTTTGCTCTTTGTCAATTTGAAGCGTATATTTGCAGTGGAAAGGAATTATTAAGGTTGACCAAAGGATGTGTGGTAAATATCTTTACTTTTTGTTAAAACAAAGTAAATTGTCATCTGGATGCTTCTGTCGACTATTTTCAAGTAGATATCACTGCTTCATTTCGCTTAGCGTCACGTTGGGTTTGCTTGCCGTAAATTTCATATAACAATTATTCATTTAGTCCAGCTTCTTCCATGTTTTTTCTAGTATCCTAATATAAGCACATTCAACCTTTCTATTTCAGCGCCAAGGATATATGCTGTCGCGTTAAGTGGTTTGTTTATTGTACTGTTCATGTTGGATACCGGTGCAACAAGCCCGGTTTCAACTAATCCATTCCCTTGGTTTCCTAGCGAAAATTTACCAAAGAGGGACGCTTTCAGAAATTTGATAGACAGATTAAAACGGGTTCAAGCTCGTTCTCAAAGCTTTGGAGCAAGTAGGCCAAATAATGTTGGCGAGTCTGTGCTGGATTCATGGGCAGCTAGGGTGCGAAGAGCTCCAACAGCACGTCAAATGAAGAAGTTAAAGATCAAGAACCTAGCTCAAATGGCACATGAGGTCCGTTCGTTGTGCAAGGAATCATTCAGTTATTACGTGAGTATGTCCTTACACTTAAAAACCTAAGGAATGAATATAAGTAATGGTACAAAGATAAGCTATCCATATTGGAAGCTTGATACGTTAATGAATAATTCATTTTACTTACTAGAGAGGTGCTCACCCCCTACAAAATTAAACAACAGGTAAACTATCCAGGGTGGGTCTTTATTTATATCAGCACGCCGTTAAGAATTATAAAGTGGAGCTCAACTTTAACGGCTGATAAAACTTTTCAGATTGAAAGAAATGCCTGATTTCAAAAAAACAATATCAGGTTAATTCCGTAGAGTATGGCATGTGCGTTTGTGACATTGTATTAATTTGAAGTATCCAAACCGAATGTAGATGACGCTAATAGGTATTCTATGTTTGCTGGAAATGCATTACCTTCGTGCAATTTGGACTTTAAGAGAGACGTTAGGTGAGAGTCAATTCGTTGGAGATATATGCTAATGCTTCCGATGATCACCCAGTTAATCTCTGTGGTCTTTTCTTCTTTTTTCGTGAGTAAGCACATGACAATAGGCACGAGTGATGATAAAGTTGATATGATATAATAGTTTTGGTTATTGTATGAAATATTACGAACAATTTACAAACCCGTAAAGCAAAGTAAAACTCGATTACATAGTTTATATAAAAAATCAATTTGATCACATGATTAATCTTCATTATATAGTTCCTGTGACGGGATTCTTTAAATGGCCAGTTTGAAAACGTGCTACTTTAGTGTAAATGACCATTTATTTAATAAATCTGAGTAATGTATAAAATATTTGTATCACTATTAGTAGGTCATCAGACAAAAGGACAGACAGATGCATTATCCCCTAAGTTTAATAGAAGCATTTTGGTTGATGTGTTACGCTGTTTCCAAGACCTTTGGGACGTTGCTTAAAACGCTGTCCCAAAACCAGCTTGGCAAATAAAATAAATCGAAGCGAAGAGAATTCAGACACCAGTGTTAATTTATCACCCCTAGTATTTAAACTTTCTGGTACAGATTTTGGTAGACGTATGTACCTATAATTTACAAACTTGAATAAATTACTCTCGTTCAAAAGGGCACGGAGCACGTGCCTTCCATGAGACTGTACGGCCAGTTTCAACGATTTCAGCTATTCCTAATTACCTTACCATAAACCCTAACACAGAGACAGTATATTTCGAAAGTGACTGTTATAGACAGATACAAATTGGATATTTTTCAGTGTAGTAAGGTGAGGGAAAGCATCCCAGGGGTTTTCAGAAGCTGTTCAGAGTTTTCATCAACTTTAGTTGGAAAGTATGGACTACCCAGACTAGGTTCTGTCAGCGTTGAACCAATGCAAGAGGAGGACGCATTTACGGTAAGCTTATCTCTTTTTACTGTTTATGATTGTAAGAGAGGATGTACAGACTGAATATCATGTATGCCATAAATATGTTTTCTGAATGGTCTCACAAGAAAGCAAGGACAAATATATCTCAAATATGCCATCGTCGCTCTATTAATTGACGACAGTAATGTACTTTTATCATGCAGTAATGTACTTTTATAAACGTTGCCTTATCTGAAACAGTAATAATAACATGTTAAATTAACAAATTGCAAAAGATAAAATACTATGATGCACTACAGGTCAAAATATTACATTTTGTCATTGATTAATGATTGTGAAAATGTTCTATACTTCATCATGTGCCGAAATATCTTCTTAAAGAGGAAGAAATACAAGACATATACAATTGAACATATCGATGTATTCCTGAACAACTGATTTCTTTAAAAATGCAAAATTCGTTTACTTTAAAGCGTGTACCCTGTGTTCTAGCTACAAAGGTATAGGTTAAAGATTCCCAGTTATTATTCTAATGACTGTCATGTATATTTTTTATTTTTAGGTGGCTCTCAACAGCGTGCTCAAGGATGTTTCCCGCTACAGATTTGTGATGGCAAACGTCAGCAAGATGGAGCAGGAAGCACTGTGCCCTGGAAACCGTGGGTTCTGTCCGCAGCTTGAATGTTCCGGAGCATACACCTTCTATTGCCACATGGAGGACTTAATGGATGCCACTTCCAATCTGATAACGAACTTAAAAGATGATGTAAGTCGTTCTCTTTTTGAATTTTGCGTGAAAATTATTACGTTTTAACGATATACTCTTCTGTTTGTATTCGAGCATTTATTGGTAATATATTTGTGATGGTTAGCTAGCTCTGAAGAGTGCACTAAGCTGTGTAGGAGATGAAATAAGTCCTTGTACATGCAAAAGGTGCCCCACTTTCACCATCTCGATTAAACGTGCTTGTCAGCAATTATGATACAGAATTCAGAGAATAAGTTTATTCAATGCGTTTTTCAGATGGCAACATTGCAGATTCCAGTGGAACAGCAGCGAAATACAGTGACATTAGACAGTTACTCTTTATCTCCTGTTACCACAACGCCGAGACAAGAATATACACTAGCATCTTTGCACCAATACTCGAAGCTCTCTTCGGAAATGCAAGAAATGTTTGTATACCTGTACAATCTTGTTTAATGCTTCAAATTCTAAAAATATTTTTTAAAACAGCATTATGTGATAATACCGGTGTACTTAAGCTTGAGAGAGTATAGTGGTTAGCTATTCAAAATTGGTTGGAGAGATGCCAGTGCCCCTGATACGAGAAAAAAGAAAGAATTGCTGGAAGCGATTCTTACAAATTTGCACAAATGCCCATTACTCTAACTAGATATCTATGGAAGGTACGCACAACCACAGTATATCACTTAGACTGCCGCTGTTTAATATATGAGAACGAAGACATTATGGAGAGGACTGTGTTTGTCGAAATTTTGGTTAGATATCGTAATGATCTCGATGCAAATTGCGTTCTCTACACTATAACCTATGTGTTATTATTATTATTATTATTATTATTATTATTATTATTATTTTGTTGTTGTTGATGGCTTTCGTTGCACCTGTATTGACCAAATGCATTTCGCTTCTTGTTGGGTTTAGCTGAAAAGAGAGAATTCCTTCAAAGTGCAATTCAGTTATGAATTAGGAACCTCCTACCGAGCGGGTAGGCACTGAAGTCGTAGGAAGTTCGCGTGTGGCCCTCCCTTCCAAGGTTGATCCCACTTTTACAGATGCAATTACACATTTCCTACTGATTGAATATGAATAATCGTATACAACCGGCCACAACTGCTGTTTGCAAGCGTGCCAACAATGTTAACTTGGATGTTTAGAGGTTACTAAGTAAAACCAGGCACTTTTTTGTAATATGCCTTGCCATATTGTATTGACGGCATCACAAAGTACGTGCTTTCATTCACATGGAGTAGGGATAAACGTGTAAAGCATGCTCTTAAATCTCCTTAACTTAATTGCATAATTCTTTATGTGTTTAGTGAAAGCGGCGATAGTTAGAGTAGATTTCATATGATATAAGTAATTTATTGTGTCTAATTTATTCTAATTTATTTACTGTATATTGTATCATTTAAGTTATGAATTTGACTGGAGAATACAATAATAAAGTGTTGAAAATGTTACAGCTTGTGTAAAACTTGTCATTGAGCCATCTGGCTTATCTCCAGGAGAGCTGTGATAGATTGAATCACATGAGACACTCCCAGCACATTTTACCGTAAATCCCTAATCAGTAAGATGTCATTTTACGGGACCACACTTGGGAAATCTCAAATTACGATTTGGTCTACTACATGATCGTGACAAGCGGTGTAAATGTGTTTATATCAACACTTGCAATACTAATGCAATACTTTCTTCGCGAGGTCCAGGTGCCACAAGAGCATTTGACACGTGTTTGCACTGGTGATGAATAATTGATTACCCTAATCTATTGGACATTGACACATTGTTTTTCTGGTTTAATTTTAGGGAGTAGTTAACCGCGTATAATTGTATTTTTATATCTACTATATTTTAACGGGTTTTCTGCTCAATTTATATCAGTTCAAATTTATTCGGTGGTATGATAATGATAAACGTTTTGATCGCTTTTTTGCAAGTATTTGCAGTATATTATACGTCCACTGAAAGCTTCTAGTGATTGTTTCTTATCTATTGTCGACTTTCTGTTTTTTTACTGCATCCATCCGTTAAATGTCTGGCGTGTCTAACCACATCAACATTTCTTTTTGATGTATGGCGGAGCACTTAGGACACTAGGCACATAATCTACAGCAAAATACCAATTACAGAGATGGCCATTTCGCAGAGGTTGTCAATATACAAGAAGCACCTGTCTGAAAATGAGCCCTGCTAATTCTCTATATTAACCATGCGCTTGACTGCGAAAATAAGGGGACTGGATCTTCGATTTTTGTCCGATCACTTCGTGTCTCATATGATGAAATTGTCAAATTAACAATGAAATTGCGGCTGCATCAAATGAACGTAATAAACATATCTAACTCGAAGTTGGCACTTTTGTATAAATATGTAGTGTTTTATGTTAAGGTATTCATTCATATGCAAAAAAATTTGACTTGTAATCGTCCACATCAGCACCAATTAAAACAGAAAGATAAAGAGCACATCAAGCAACTTTCTGAGTTCGTAATTTCCGAAGAGCACACGCAGGTTAACACTGAGAAACTTCAGTCTATTTTCAACCAATTTTAGGGGATTTACACAAGGAGCAATACACTAATCTTAAGAAATAGAACGCACTGAAGAACAGAGCACAGTGGATATGTTTAACATATGGTGTTTTCACTGTAAACTTAACCACAAAAAGTCACTACAGGTCACTATGACTGGTCGGTCAGTGTTTAGAACAGCGGTCGGAAGATCAACCACAGTCTGTTTGGAATGGACATACCTGCTAATACCTAGTTAAACACCGGCGATAACTGTATATTATTTATAATGTTGAAGTCTAAATATAGAGAAATACTATAGATGTGATTTATATGAGTATCCTAAGGACAGTTCAGCTTGTTGTGAACTACACTAGCTTTATACGTGGATATATATTTTTCTAGAATTATTAAAATATATATATTTCAATACAGCCATGACAAAGTTTCCGGCTAATAGTAAAAACGTTCTTTAATGTAGTGAAAGCTGTCTATTACGTGTGCAAAATCGTCGCGCACAGAAACAGATGAGACACAGAAACACTCCTTAGTTGGGCTAAAATCAGAGGAAATAAACACTGGCGGTCAGTATTTCGTATACTGACGCGTGTCGAAAAGTTCTGTTCCTCATTGTCGTCTGACGAAATATCCCTCAATGAAACTTAAGGAGAGGAAACGGAAGTAGACGTTGGCTCGGCTCCCTTTTAAATTTCGTTGTGTTGAATATTTTAAATGATACGGAGTGGCTAATGATTGGTCGGCCTGCATTTATAATCATAGTATTCAACAAACAGTCGATAAATTGAGCTGAATTCACTCTCCCATAGTTTCTGTAAATATTGCCCTTCCTAATCTTTGTAATTGTTTCAGCCACACCATAAATCTGGAGTACCGTCTGTATGCCTGCGGTAGGGAAAAGACGGCAAAGGGGTCGTACAAAACATCCTCTCTCACTCACACCCTCGTTTCAAAATCGATACCAGTGCAATTGGTCCTGGATAATAAAAGAGGAAGCGATCATATCTAAGCCGTGTATCGCTTCTAGATATGATCTTGCAAATTATCACAGTGAAACTCTGCGACATATTACATGTGGCATCGCAATATTTTAAGTTGGCACTAATGATGTGCTTTTAATTGACTGCATGGGCACAAGTAAAGATGAGAAAGGAATGTAATGGCTTGGTGAGATGACTTGATGTTCGTTAATTCTTTTTATTTTCTCTTTACTTTCTCTTATTTTTCTTCTTTTTGAGTTCACAACATCATTTTTATAAGTAGTACATGTGCGTCTGAGTTGCAAGAAGTATTTTAATCAGGGTTGTAGGTCAGGACACCAAAACACAAAAGGACACAACGTAACGGTACTTAGTGTATTTCGGAGGCTCCCTTACGGTTGTATTTACGAAACAAACACAAGATATCAGAAAACAAACCACATCAAATCTCCTCATGTACTAGTGTTACTGACTATTGATTGTGATTTTACTTCAGTCCCTATTCTATTGTCAATAGCACAGGTGCATGTTACAATAGGGTCACTTAATCAGAGTTCTTGGCCATTGAAAAACTGCCTCGTTAACTGAATGATCTACGATATCATGAAAGTAAAGTGCGTTGCATGTAACGCTTAGCTACCTGAGCTAGATAATAAAATACTACAGGTTGGATAATTTAAAGTGTCGTACAAAAAATATAGGTGCAGTTCTTGGTAATAAGCATATCTTCACCGGGGACAGAAAATAAATTGTGTGTGTGTGTGTGTGTGTGTGTGTGTGTGTGTGTGTGTTCGACGGAAGGTTCACCATTTTAAGGTACCAATGACCTAATAAAAGTTCCTGTGTACAACTTCAACCTGAATTGACACGCCATCTAAGAGGGTTTCTACGAGGTGATACCGGAGTTTCTGAATAGATGTTTCAGAATTCATTTACACTTTTCTTTTATCATGCTTATTGCCAATTTCCGATCACTGCGACATTATCGGCAACACCCAGTCACTCGCTTTCTCTGAAAGGAATCGGAATCGAACGGGTTCCTCTTTAACGTAACATTAAAGGTAGAGGTAAAGGATATCGAAAAATAAACCTGATAAACTTTTGATAATTGTTACCATAATGTTTGTTTCCATCGAATAACCTGTTCTGTCTGTGGTTATGAGTGATGAAACATTCAAGATAAAGGTATATGTCACTTTTAATGCAGCCCAAAGGTTCTGGCATATTCGCTGTCCTTTAATTCTATTATCTGTTTAGCACATACCATTACTGTGCAGGCGTTTTCGAAACCGCCAAAAAGACAAATTCTTTCTGCTTTTCGATTGCCTCTGACACAGAACATAATCATAAGATTAGGAACCCTGAAAGGATTTTCTGTACTTTTACTGTCAGATAAATGTGCAACTTTGAATGCTTTCCTCCCGAGGTTTAGAAAACGATTAAGATGGTGTTTGAATTGTTTCTGATTTACAAAAGTGCAGGATCTAAGGGGTTTGCAATATGCTATTTAAAAAAGTTAGAACAGTTAAACAGATGTCTTGTCATGGTTTACTAAAATGCTAAGTCATGTTTCGTTCAACAACTAATTTGTCTTGTGCACCTCAGCACAGGTTATATCCTGTCAACTAGGAGCGCTTGCTTCTTGCAACCTTTTGGACTGATATATTATATAAGGAACTTTTGACGTCATTGTGTAATGTGAATCTACAATATTATTTGTACTGGTACAAGAATATGTTTTCCTTCGTTGTGTTATTTGTTACGGGCAACGTTATAAAGGTAAGCAGGCAAGGAGCTGAGTCATTTGTGTAACCGGAAATTGCATGTCACTAAAGTTCACTACTATTAGCAAAGCAAGCAACTTCTGCTGGACTTTGTGATAACACATTTTAATAGTTGATAAGTTATAAGTCGATAAGTTATAACGCCGACAACGATGGTTTAGTGAAATGAGTCATTTCTTTTTTTAAAAAAACCAAAAACTGAAAACATTATTTGAGTCCCCTTTCACTGCTTGAAAGGAAAAAACAGTAGTTTGTGAACAAATTTAACAGAAAATCCCGGTTTTTGATCATTTTCGTGAACGTCAATTGTACTCAGAAAAATTATAGTCATTTTGCTGATGATGTCATATTAGCGGTTTTGAGATGAATGGGCATAAATAATAATGAAAAATAATAATAATAATAAGAGCTCGTATGAGTACCTGAGGTTCAACAGACCATTGTCAACAAGACCGCATTAACAAATGCCATCCATAATCTAGCGTGGTGGTACCCAATTGTTCTTCACACCTTTGACATAACTACGCTTTTATTGGCGAATTATCTGAATCGTTTATGGAGTTAACCACCGAACAGATACATGTATATATCTACAACCAATTAGGATTAATGAGTTATGGTTAAAAAAATTCTTCCAGGTACCTGTTCAGGCAACACCTTGGTACAATGACAGCCCTTCTACCTGTAATCGATATGTTGATCAGCATAGTCACTTAAAATATGCGAGATATAATACATTGCTACATAACTAAAAAATAAAGAAAATAACTCAAATTAGGCCACACCTTGATATATTTCAGGGTTTGTAACCTAGAAGAATTAAAAAGTATTTCTCACAGACGGTATTCAAACAGATCCAAAGGGTTCACACTTATGCACAGAAGGAACCCTGACAGAAAAAAAACCCCAAAAATTGGGTATATTGCACTGGTTCTGAATTTGATGAGAGGAAGAGGAAGACCTTTCTTTTAGCATCACTAGAGAAATGTCAATTTCACTCTAAACGCCGTTTTTGTGTGTCTTTTACCTAAAAAACACCACGAGACCTAAGGTGTCAAGGTACTGAACCACGTAAGGATATAACGTGGGGAGGATCCATGTATGTCGGTGACGGCTCAATTTGCAACCAACAGGTCCCACGGGAAGTAAA